GCCTCAGCCTCCCAAAGTGCTGGGATCATAGGCGTCAGTTGCCACACTCAGCCCCAGCTCACAGTGCTTCTGAGCAAAAGAATCATCAGGTGTCTTGCTGACAACGCAGCTGCGGGGACGCTGTCCTCAGGGGTCTTACTGAAGTGTCCCGAGGCAGGACTCGATGCTGCATTTTAGAGATGGGCCCTGCACACTGACCCAGGGAAGATCGGGCCTGCTGAGAATGCCACCCTTTGGGAAAGAAAAGCAGCTGAGAACCCAGGGCCCGGTGCCCACTGAGGCCTGTGATGCTTCTGGATGCTGGGATGTGCCGTAGGCTGCCGGCAGCTGACACCAGATTTCAAATTGGTGATGGGGGAGATGGTAAAAGCTGATGCTCTCTCAAAATGGTAACCGGGAGTTGCTTATATTCTCAATATTGCCCAAGCCCAGAAATTCGATAATTTAGTACTAAAGCGGGCCTCTGAATGCAGCAGTTCTCAAACTTTAGTGTACATAATAAGACTTACTAAGATGCAAAGAGCAAAGCCACAGCTGCTTGAGCTCTGCCCCTGGGGACCCGATTCGGCCAGCAGGCGCTGCAGAGCCCTGGGCCGCGGCCAGTGCAGAGCCCACTCTGCACGGAACAGAGAGGCAGTGCAGCGGCCAGGAGCCGGTTCCTCGCTGGTGAGACCAGCAGGCTGGGAGGCACACCCCAAGTGCACCTGTCTTCGCTGAGTGCCCCTGACGGGAATTAAAGCGTGTAAGCATGAGGGACGAGAATGACCCCACTAGTACTCCTACTAAAAAGAAAAAACAGATTTCAATGGGCACGGTCTTTATGCAAGTCCACCCTCTGTCCCTTCTGAAAACAAGACAGAGCCGCCCTCCCCGGCACCCGCTCACGTTTATTCATTCAAACAACGTGTGCTGAGCTCCGACCATGACTCACGCCCTGTGCTTGGTTCCAGGACACAGCGTTGCTCTGGCCTAACTGGCCTATGCCTGAGCCACAATACCAAGGGGCCTCTCGCTGACCCACTGGGTGAGGCTGCTCTGGCCCGAGGACGCTGGAGCACAACGGGGAGGCCCACGTGTGGCGGTGATGGGAAGATGCCGGGCGCACGTGCTGGCTGGCCGCCATCTGGAGCTGGTCCTCTCTGCAGCCTCCATGTCCAGTGCAAGTCCGGCCATCGCCCCCAGCCCTCCCCGCAGCCAGGGCCACTACTGTGGCCTTCATGTGGCTCTTGCATTGCTCTCGGGCCCGCTGAGAATTTGAATTTCTCTACAACTGGACTAGAAGCCACTGGAGGACAAAGCTACTGGTCTTCCCTCCTTGTTCCTCACAGAGTCTGGGCAGGGCTGAAGCTGTGGTCGGTGCTATAATTCATATCGATAAATCCTTCTTGATGTGACTTGTTCTCCTGTCCCACTTTCCAACCAGCATTAGACACAAGCAGCCACTCCTACAGCTGCACACAGAAGGTGGAAGGAGGGGGGCCTTGGTGTGGGCAGCTGGGGTCCTAATTCCAGTTCTGCCACCATCTGTAACCAGTTCCTGGACTCCTCTGGGCCTTGACCTGCTCATCTTTAAAGTAGGATGACAACATCCCACACAGGCATGTCTACAAAGATTAAATGAAATGTGAACGCACCTGGCACACACTAAACATTCCCTTCCTACAATCTTAGAAATGTACACACACCTGACAGCTCAGGCCAGGGGGGCGGGGGAGGCGTAGGGGTCTGCTGGCCCCAGCCGTGGGCAACAGAGCTGCTTCCTCAGCAGTGAAGGAGAGAAGGCCCCACCAGCTCTGGGAGCCCAGAGAGTCTCCAATTCCAGAGCCCAAAGCCTCCCTCCAAAGCCCCCCTCCAGGGACAGTCAAGTGTTTCTGGGTGATTTCATCCATAGCTGGGGACCTCCAAGGCACACTAGTTTGGTGCATACCTATCCATGTCTTACGGGTTGAACTGTGTCCCCCCAAAATGATGCATTGAAGTCCTAAGTCCAGCACCTTGAAATGTGATCTTATTTGGAAATAGGGTGTTAAGATCGGTGACCGAGCAAAATTAAGGTCCTCAAGGTAAGCCCTGACCCAACATGGCTGGTGTCTGTATACAAAGGGAAACAGCCACGGGCACACTCCTGGAGAGTCCAAGGGGCACAAAAGGTCACCAGTAAAGCCACCAGGAGCCAGGAGAAGGGCGGGAACAGACACTCTCTCACAACTTCCAAAGGAACCACCCTGATAACACCTGAGCTCGGACCCCCAGCCCCAGAGGTGTGAGACAATAAACGAGTGTTGGCTGAGCCTCCCAGTCTGTGGTTCTTTGTTACGACACACCTTGCAAGCTCGACACTGCATCTCAAGCCCTGGTAGAACATGTGTGTGGAAGGCATGACCTCCCACAGAGCAATGGCAGCTGCGGCAGCACGGAGAGCAGGGCTGCGCCTGCCGTGGGTCCATGGGTCGCGGCCACCCCAGCATTGGCCGAGCCAGAGCCCTCCCGAGGGTCCGGGCCAGGCACCCACACAGCAGACGACAGGGCAGCCGTGGACGGGCTTATTGCATATGAGCTGCTGTTCTCGCTTTGCTTGGCCAAACCCACTTCAGAGTTTTCAACATTTCGGAAACAGACGAGCCCAGCACCACCAAGGATGACTCGCAGTCTTAGTCACACAAGACACTTCCTCCAAGTGATACTGCAAGATGCCTTCAAGTTAAACATCTCGTGGATCACTCAGACGAAAGCAACCGCCCTGGAGACTGCAGCCCCCACACAGAGCATGAACACAGCCGTGGACCTGCATCCCCATGGCTGGGAGGACTGAGCCACGGTGGGCCCTCCAGCACCCCTCTGTCTGGCCACCCATGCGCCATCCGGCTTTCCCCATCTCCATTTTCATTTGCCACTCTGTGCCAGGCCCTGAGCCAAGACCCCCAGTACGTTTTTCCACAGAATCCTCCAATGTTGCTCTTTTCCCCATTTCAGAGAAAAAAGACCTCGGTCCAAAGAGTGCCAGAAGCCACTCAGGGTGCACAGTGGGAAGCCAGGATCCTAATCTAGCTCTAATCCCAAACCCCAGCTTCTCCTGCTGAATAAGCCATATCACTGGAAGGTCATCAAGGTGGAGGGGGCGGTGGGGCACGGCCAGCTGTGGAGGCGTGGCCAGCACACCTGGGTGTGCAGCCCGCCGGGGCTTGGGCATACTTGACTCACGATCCTCACAGTGGATTATAAAGGGACCTGGAGATTTAACAAAACAAAGATGAGATACCTTCAGAAAGACTCACTGAATCCTGGGTCTTTCCCTGCAGTGATCTCCAGCAGATCTGCAGGGGTCCACTTCCCACTGCACCCAAGGTCTCAAAGCACATCTGCCCCCATGAGCCACCCCACTGGCTCCCAGCTGGGGACTCTGTAGGTCCCAAGTCTCTGGTGACAGAGGCAGAGATTTTGAGGCAGAACAGGCAACATGGTTTATGGAAACACGGTACTAAATTCTCAATCCTTTCCAACTGCAAAGGGTTCTCACCAGCAGACACTCTGCTGAGGGACAGGGGACGCTGTCCCTGTGAAAAGAGTTTGCTTCTTCTACTGTTCACTCCACCTGAACTCTATTACTGTTCATTTTCTTTGGGAAAAAAATCACTATTCTATTTAAAAGATTTGGTGGATTTAATCTATAAAGAAATAAATGACTGAATTTTCTTCCCCATTGCCTCAACGTTTTGTGTCAAAACCACCATCTGCAAACGTGTTCTGGGCACCTCCTCGAGGGAATGGGTTTAAGGTACACCTGATGCATCACACCCTGACGGTGCGCTCTCTCCTCGGAATGCCTCCTGACCAGGCCTCGTTGTCCTTGTGTATGTGATAAGTAAGACAGTGCAGGCCAGAGCCCTCTGTAAACTGGTGAATGTCAGGTATTTCTAGGACTCGGGAGGGCCCCAGCAGAGTGGGCAGCTCTGGGGCACAGCCGGGGCCTTGCCCGCTTCAGAGCCAGCCATGCTGGAACGCTGAGGCCCTGCCTCAGGCCCCTCCTGTCTTTGCTGCAGAAAGCTGCCACCAGGAGGTCTGCCTCACAGGCTGGCCCAACGAGAGGCTGGAGAAACATGGGCCAGGGGCCTCGGCAGGACATGTTTTTTCTCCAGAAGCCAAATAGATCCAGCCAAGCTCAACGCCAATACTCTCCCTGCACATGCACATGTGCGGACAGACACACACACACACAATGCACATGGGCATAAACACATATACACACAACGCACATGCACATATGCACACAACGCACACACACATACACACAATGCACATGGGCATAAACACAACGTACGTGCACATACACACATACACAACACATGAACACATACACACCCACATGCATATATACACATACACATGCACACATATACACACATGCACACACACACACACACACCACATGCACAGGCTCCTAAGTACCAAGAGTCACTCGGGCACGTAAAGGAGGGTGGGGCTCTGAAAGGCAATGGCCCAGATGTCCGGACACCCTGCAGGCAGGCAGCAGGGCCGCTGCACCCTGAACTACCCGCGGGACAATCAGTGGACCACAGCTGCCTTCAAGGCGAGGCCCACAGCCTCCTACCAAGGACCAGGAGAAACCTGGAAATGTCTCGATCTCAAATCTTATATTTTTGTCTCCTATCCATCATAATGTGCTTCTACTAAATTAAATTTAATTTTGAAAGGCTGCTTTGGGCCCAGGGAAGAACAATGAGCTGGGGTGGGAACTGTTTCGCCAGCTCCGTAGCTCACACTGGCTGCACAGCCGGGCGGGGCGACACACTCCTGGCAGAGCGCAGCAGGGAGCGAGGGGCAGTGTGCTGCTCCTGCCTCGCTGCTCAGCTCCAGACGAGGTGCGTCCCTAAGGAGGTGACGAGTGCCCAATGGCTCCCCGACTGATCCGTCAGCGAGGTGGCCCGGGGCTGCCTCCTTCAGAGCCGCCCGACACCTCAGTACTGGCAGAGAAAACTTACAGCTGGGAACTTTGCTTCCTGGGTTCCAGACTCCGTGTCCCCCTCTGCTTCCTCTCCACAGTCACCCTGTGCCTCCCTCGGCGGCTTCCTGCTTTGATCTCCCGTCTCCAAGCTGGAAAAACACTCAATGTCATCTCCATCCAACTGACCTTCCATTGGGCACTTGCAAGTCAAACAAGGACCCTCAGGGAGCCCAAGGTGGCCCCGAGGGACAACCCTACAGGGCCTTTAGGGAGCAGGGCTGGGAGGAGCATGGGATGACTAGGCCCCTCTTTCTATCCCTTCTGTCTACTCCTCTGACCCCCGATGTCCTCCTAGCCCCACTCGCCCAGGTGGCTCTGTTTTCCTCCCTCACAGTAGACCCTGCAGACTCTACAGCCCCTGGGCACAAGGTGTCAGCTGTGCCAGGTCCTGGTTAGAGGCTGACAGCAGGTGGTGACTACAGAACCCGGGGCAGGAAGGGGCGAGGGCTGGTGCAGGGCTGGTGCACGGAATGGACCAGAACGGGTGGAGGCAGCATCCGCCACACCGAGTCTCCAGAGGCGCTTGAGAGTCACCTGGGGCCTCTGCTGACTTAGCGGCCAAAACAAGGTAAGAAAAGGGTGGAAGTGACTTGGCCTGGTGGCACATGGTGGGGCCTGGACTCGGCCCCAGAGCCATCCCACTCCAAGCCCCTGGCTTCCCGATGGGCCGCTGAGCTCCAGCACCAAGGCTCAGCAGACAGATGCGTGTGGCACACTCGAGGCGGCCACTTCGGAGGCCGCTGGCTCTGCCTGCTGTGCTGGTGTTCTGTGACTGCTGACTGGGTGAACGAAGTTACGGGCCCCTCCTCCTGAGCAGGTGGGCAGCTCGCACCGCGGGCAGCAGGAGGCGTCCGTGTGCTCCAAGGAGAGCGGCTTTCCCGGGGCGGCCGACTCCCACGTGCCAACATGGCCTCGTACCACCTCCTCGGAGGGATCCGCGCCTTTTATCATCTTGGCTGTATCTTCCAGATGATCTAGTGCTGCAAGGCCCAGGGGTACAAGAGCGGAAACCTGAGCACCCCTCCTTCGCCTTCATTCCCCTGTGGCATTTGAGACTCCCTGGCGTGATGGCCCCGTGGCCTCGCAAGTTCATGGCCCGCAGCCCGTGCCCCCCACAGGGCAGAAGCCTCCACCAGCCTCCTTGACTCTCGCCTGCTGCCCAACTACAGAACCCTATCGCCTGGCCCCAAGCTGCAAGTGGTGGTCCGGCCTCACCACTGCGCCCTAGGGCCTGCACCCGGCACCCGGGGACATGCCCCTGTTGGCTGTACCCATCCTCGTGCCCATTCTCCATGCACAGGCGCCCCTGACCAGGGCCCCACCCGGGAGAGGGCTTGACATGGATGGTGCACCTGGGGGGGGGCGCGGGAGGCAATGAACGAAGCCTTGATACCTCACGGGCACACAGAGGCCAAGGAGGGGCAGGTGACCCTATGGGCAAGAAAGCAGGCTCAGTCGAGCTACCCGCGCAGTCCAGGCTGGCCCAGCTGCACGCGGTGTGTGGCTCGGACCCCGCCAGGCCTGTCCACACCAACCCCGAGCCTCTCTGCGTGCCGCCGCTGGGACGCTCTGCCTTCCAACCTGAACGCTGACAAGCACACAGGAGACCTCTAAAATTCTCACCTGCCCCCGTCGGATGCATCGACTTTACCAAGAAACCAAGAAGACAAAGGTGTCGGGTGACGGCAGCCCCTCGCACCCCTCGCCGCGCTACACGTCTCCAGCAGCTTGCATGTGTCATCACGTGCGCCACCATGAGGGGTCAGACAGTGCACTGAGGGATTTGTTCTTTTCATTAAAGGCCATTTGATCAATGTAAAACTGAACTGGATTTCACGGAAAGACTCATTTATTATTATTACTTTAGAGACGGCCTTGCTCTGTCACTCAGGCTGGAGTGCAGAGGCGTCACCACAGCTCACTGCAGCCTCCAACTCCTGGGCCAAAGCGGTCCTCCTGCTTTGGCCTCCTACAGCCACCATGCCTTGTGAAAGACTCACATTTTTAAATTTGCAAATCAAACTAATTTGTGTTCAATTTTTTTAAGGAACAAAGATATTTTATGGAACTTCCACACTATCATAGAAGGGCCCCAGGAAAAATATCACCATGCCACAGGGCAGGTTAGAAAGGGCAAAACCAGCTGCAAACGGCACAAACCTGGTCCTGCCAGCGAGCTCCTGGCCACCCCTCCCGCCCAGTGTGAGACCTCGGGCAGGTCGTTCACGTGCCCTGCTGCAGTCTCCCATCTAGAAAATGAGGCTCTTGGTGCAGACTCATCATTTTGCTCAGCACACACTTACTGAGCGCTTACTGAGCACCACTCTTGGAGACACTGGAAATAGAGTGAATGAGACAGACAAAGCCCCTGCTCGCACAGAATTTATCTCTTAATGCAGGAAGGGGGAGACAGATAATAAATCAGAAAGAAATAGGATAATTCCAGATAGGGAGGAAAACTAAACAAAATAATGTGACAGAGCGGGCGGTGGGGTGGGTGGAGGTGAGCAGGTAGGCCAGAGGTCTTCTCCAGGTGGCGACGTCTGAGCTGACACGGACAAAAGCGGGTGAGCTAGCTGGCAGCAGAGGCCACAGACAAACAGGACTTCTAGCACAGAGGCCCCAAGAAGGCAGCCAGCTAGAGACATCTGAGGAGAACAAAGGCAGCAGGGCTGTAGCAACGTGAGAGGGCAGAGATGGAGGCTGGGAGCTTAGCAGGAACACACCGCACCCAGCTTGGCACCCAGCCAATGGCCCATGACCTGCGGCTACTGTTATTCCTGGTAAAATAGTCACCTGAACACACATACATTAACATTCTGGGGCTAGGCTCAGTGGCTCATGCCTGTAATCCCAGCACTTTAGGAAGCCAAGGCAGGAGGATCACTTCAGGCCAGGAGTTTGAGGCCAGCCTGGGCAACATAGCAAGACCCTGTCTTAATAAAAAAAAAAACAAAACAAAAACACATTCCGGAAGATGGCAGAGTCCAATAGCAGTACCTGACACCCACTCCCCTCAAATCCATGATGAGACTTACCAACTAATCCCAAACGGAATTGGCAGCAATGACAATAACTGAGAATTGGGTCTGCACCAGGCCTGGGGTGTTGGGTGCTTACTGCTCACCCCCACTGGGAAGACAGCACCCAAAGATTTGTTCTGTGTCCAGCTGGTGCCACAGCCACAGGCAGGGGAAGGACATGTCTTTGCATCTTCAGCCTCACCTCCAACGTGAGGACGGTACCCTGCCTGCACCGGGACCAAGTCCCATGGCGACAGTAGAAGGAAGAGGGGTTGAAGGCTGCCCTGCTGGCCTTCTCCCCAGAAGGCACACCAGAATCTCACCTCTAGACAGGTGCAGGGAGCTGTTTTTGAAAAGAAGCTTCTCTTGACATCCCAGCTGCCGTGGCCAAGGTCAAATCACATTCAAGGTTAATTAGACAGAAGAAATATTGATACAAGTGCTAGCCTATGAAGATAACCTTATGGCCAGGACTGACTATGTAACTTGTGGGACCCAGGACAAAATCGAAATGTGGGGCCCCTTGTTAAAAATGATGAATAATTTCAACGAGACCCTGTGCAACTGTGCAGGGTGCCCACCTGTGAAGCCAGCCTCACCCTCACCTACCGCTCAAAAGAGGGACAACGTGCTTAAAATACAGCACCAGTAGAATGGCAGCTGCAGAGAAATCCAACGTGCATGCCCACCCCTGCTCTGCCCCCTAAGAGCCATGGCCTGGGGAATGTAAGTGCATCACCTTGACCCCCGCTTTTCAGCCCAGGAAACCAGAGATCACTTCCTCTGGGTTGCTGCCCTCTTGAGTTTGCTGTGAGAGAGCAAACAGATAATGCAGGTGGGGCGCAGGGAGTGGGCCGCACCAATGTAAGGGATCACCATTATTCACAGGGCCCAGAAGAGCTGGGATTTCTGAAGAGCATTGACATTCCCCAGCAATTAAGTCAAATTAACATAATTCAAACAAAACATCTAATTTTAGCCCTGTGTAATGATTCCCCCTAAACAGCACAGACACTGCTGCGTCTCACTCGAGGAGTGCAGTGCCAGAGCGACGCAGGAAGGAAACCAAACCACTGTGACACAGGCCTTTTACCCAGGCAGGCACCAGGCTGTTTCAGTTCTCACAACCGAAAGGCATGCTCCTGCGTGGATATGACCGCATCCAGCCACGGAGCACCGCCCCCCGCACCCCCCCAGAGACGGAGGAGGGCCCAGCAACACCCCTGCCGGAGGGGGAGTCAGAAGCCTTGAGGATCTTTCAATGGACCAGGCCTGTGGCCTCAGTTTACCCATCTGTAAAACCGAAGCAATAATGCTTCTTCTGCCTCCCTTCCTCAAAGGATTGGTTAAGGATCAAAGGAGTTAATAATTATTATCCTATGTGTCTGTGTTTAATGCAAATTACCAAATTTATTCATTCAGCCAACAGGCTCTTGGATGCAAGGTGACCAAGGCACTGTCTCTGCACACAGTCCAGCAAGAAAAGCAGGCACTTAACCCAGAGGCTGGCAAACCGTGCCCAAGGGCCAGACCCTGCCTGCTGCCAGTTTTTGTACAGCCCACACCCTAAGAATGATTTTTACATTTTTAAATGGTTCAGGAAAACAAAAGAATAACATTTTGTAATGCATGAAAATTAAATGAAATTCAAATGTTAGCGTCTATAAATAAAGTTTTACTGGAGCACAGCCATGATCGTTTGTTTGTGTATTGTCTGTGGCTGCTTTAGTGTTACAATGGCGGAGGCGAACACTTGCAGCAGAGACTAAAATATTTACCGGTCATTCACGGTAAAAGTTTGCCGACCCTTGATTCAGACAAACAAAACCATGAGTGCTATAACGGTGATGTTATCAGTGCTAATGGAACACAGAAAAGGGAGCAATTATCTCTGCTTAACGAAGCCAGGGAAGGCACCCCAGAAGAAGCGATTTTTTTCTTGGACTTTGATGCTCAGCTGTGAGCCTTGGGAAGCTGCTGTCCCATCCCAGGCTTCAGTTTGCTGCCTACAGAATAAGCAGGTTGTACTTGAACTGGGGTCCCTTCCACTGATGTGGTGCAGCACCCCACGCGGCCCTGAGCCCAGATGTGGAGAACCGACCGTGCATCCACGCTAGGCCCTGGCTGGCAGTGCGCAGCCCCTGCACAGGCCCCCGCTGCACATGGCACCCACAGAGCGCTAATTAGGGCACTGGGATGGGGAGCAGTTTGGGACAATCTACCTAGGGCTTCTTCCTTCTACCAGGCTCCAGAGAGGGCTCAGCCTTCTGCACCCAAACACAACTCCCAGGCAGAGGCAGCCGGCAGGTCCTGAATAATTGAGCACCCTGCACGGGCACTGCAGACAGGCACATCCCATTCTGCAGCCTCTACGTTCTGCTGTCTCAACTTGGTAGGGTCATTTCCATACGGAACAAAAGAAAAAAATCTCTCTCGTCTCCTTAGAGCTCCTCCCTCCATACTGTAATCGAAGAAGAATCATTGCCTGGAAGAGCTGAGCCTGGAAACCTGGCTCTAGTGCTCTGTGTGATTGGGACAAACGGTTTCCTCTCTCCACACGGCAGTGTCCCCACAAAGGTGACAGGGTGGGAAATCCCCAAGGTCCCTTCCAAGAGGCTGTATCATCTAGTCTAGTCCAGAGCAGAAAACTGATGCCCAGAGAGGTGAAGTGGGTTCCCCAGGGTCACCCAGCCACTTCCTGAGGGGCAGAGTCAGGACCAGCACCTTTAGCTCCCAACGGCCCCATTCTAAGACACTGCCCAGCTGCTGCCTCATGGTGTGTACATGTCTTGTCTCTGTCCACGACTATGCCTACATCTGTCTGTCTCTGTGTGTCTGTCTATGCCTGTATCTACACCTGTGCCCAATGTCTGTGTCTGTCAAATCCATGTCTATATCTACGGGATTGGCTCTTTTCTGGGGGATACAAGCCTTCTCTCCCAAGTGACTTGGAGACTAACATAGCACGGGGATGGCATTTCCCCGATACATACAGTTCTAGTTCCCAAACTCTAGGCTCTTGTTAGGTGCTTTTAAAATGTCCTTTGTGTTTAGCCTTCTGCCCCTTCCTCCCCATCTTAGGCACTTAAATGCATTTTGTTTAATCCTCACGATAGCCCTAGAAGCAGTCAGGCAAAGATTTTAAAATCAGGCAGCTGGCATGAGCCCCGGCTCTGGCTCTGATGAGGTGTATGGCCTTGGAGGGGTTCCTTAACCTTCCAGAGCCCCCTGAAGTCCTCACCTGTAAAATGGGGTTCCCACACACCTGGCCAGGAGGGAGGGCCGAGGGAGCTGGAGTGGGCACTGCGCCTGTCAGAGATGCCCCTCGCCCTCCCCCATCTCCTTTGGTGAGAGAGTGTCAGCCACCCTGGCTCGGCCTGGCCGTTTCCTGCTAGTGGCAGGTGTGCTCTGGGACTCAGTCACAGGCGCCATACATTGCACGGCCTGGGAAAACCCTCAGCCAACACATGGCGGCAGAGTGCGAAGGGTCTGTCCACACCCCGCCCACGCTCCTTCAGGACAGGCCCCTCTCCCCCAGCATCTCTGACCCAGACTCAGAGCTCAAAGGAGGTGAAGCGTGACGGGTGAGCAGGAACCAGACGTGCCGGGGGACCAGCTTGTGGAAGGCACACTCCAAGGGTGCCCAGCGAATCCAGTAGCAGGGGGAGGGGTAACAAGAGTCAAGGGCTCAGGTGCAGGCCAACCATGTGTGGCCTCGGAGCTGTGGGAGAGTTTGGACTTCATCCTCGAGGAAGTGGGAAGCAGCCGAAGGGTCTTAGGAAGAAAAATGACAACTATCAAATTTATGTTTGAAAAAAGTGATTCTGGCTGCCAGATACAGAGAGGATTGGAAGGACAGGGCCAGAGGCAGCGACGATGCAGGCAGAGCCGGGAGGACACGCAGGGGCGAGGATGGTGTGCTCGTCGTGGATCTCCTTAAAAGCTCTTCCTGAAGAATCTAACGGTGGTGCAGCTTTGACCTTGGTGCAGAGCCACAGAGGTAGTTTTTTCCGTCTGTCTCTTGGAAGCCCTGTGGAGCAGCATTGCCATCTGGGTTTACAGAGCTACAATTCTACACACTGGTGACGGCCCAGTTGTCCTTCAAATGCAGATCTGTTCAAGAATGAAGTCAGGGCCGGGAGTGGTGGCTCACGCCTGTAATCCTAGCACTTTGGGAGGCTGAGGCGGGCGGATTGCTCTAGGTCAGGAGTTCGAAACCACCCTGAGCGAGACCCCGTCTCTACCAAAAATAGAAATAAATTAATTGACCAACTAAAAATATATATATACAAAAAATTAGCCGGGCATGGTGGCGCATGCCTGTAGTCCCAGCTACTCGGGAGGCTGAGGCAGGAGGATCGCTGAGCCCCAGAGATTGAGGTTGCTGTGAGCCAGGCTGACGCCAGGGCACTCACTCTAGCCTGGGCAACAGAGTGAGACTCTGTCTCAAAAAAAAAAAAAAAAAAAGAATGAAGTCAGAAGGCTATGACACATGTGGCCAGCAAGAAGACAGTACTTTTTTAAAAAGACACACTATTTGACTATGGTTTGCTCTCCCGGAAGCGGACACTGTAGAAGTACACTGGCTCAAGAAGTCAGTAGTAACAACAGGGTTCCCAGCCCTTGTTCAGTGTAGTGGGCAGGTTGTGGGTCCCTCCTGTGAGTGCTGCAGCTCCCTCAAATCGAGAAGACCCGCTGGCTGGCCCTGCCACATGCAGGTCCCTGCCCAAGGCCTCATAGGCTACTCAGCCACTGGCACCACGAAGCCCAAGACGGGCAGGGCAGTGTCCCATTCCCAGAGCGTTAGCAATGGCAGAACCAAAGCAGCTCTTTCAAGTGACATTAAAATGAGTTCATCAGATCCCCCTGCCACAGG